TGAAGGTGGCTCTCAACGATCTGAAGAATGTTAAGGAAGGGCGGAGTCAACAGGTTTTTGTTCCAACCGCGAGTTTTTGAATCACCAATTTTCGTCTGTTATTGATATCTGCCTGCTGCTCTTCTTGTAATATCTTAGTCACATTTTTAGAATTAGTAAGTGATGCTACAATAGTCTATAATTTTTAGTTTTGTTTGTATCGTTTCCCAATCATCCTATTAATCCTTAAGCCATTGTTTAAAACATTTCTTTAAGAAAAGAAGCGTCAGAAATGTTAAATTGCTATTTCCAAAGATTCACAGATTTTTAAAGTTATAAATGTATATAAAATAATATTTATAAGCGCATCTTACTTTCTTCTTGGGGAAAACATTTAAAGAAAACATATTTCCATAGAGAATTGTGAGAATCAAACTCTGCTTTTGAATTTATAAAATACGACAAACACTCGACTATCGTGCGTAGTGAAATCAACGTGCGTAGAAAAATACAACGTAATATACCCTTTATTGCAGAGTCTGAAAATTATCAATTTTTAACTCAAAATTACTTCAAAACTATTAATATTTCAGAAAGATACACAGATAATTTAAATATAAATTATTGGGAAATAAATTGCAATAAGAATGAAATATTTACCGACATATTGTAGGACACGTGTAGGAGAGGTTCGAAAAATATTTCAAAAATTTAATTTTAACGAATATCGATAATACATGTATGAAATGCCGCTAAATATGAATTATACAGTAACGATATATCTCATTATTAAGCGAACTGTGCCTGGGAAAAAATTAAAGAAAAGAATTGGAATATTTTTCAAGAAAATAGTGTGTATGTTTGTTTCTTTGAATTGTCGCCATTTCACTCAAAAATTTCGAGAAAACTACTCATATTTTGATGAGAATGTACCTAAAATTATTTAAATATATACAAGTAATTATTAATAATATATATCATTATATTCAATAATTTTAGTTAATGAAGGGTGTGGAAACAATTTTAAACGTTTCCAATTTCCAAACCTTTTCGAGGCTTCATTCAAAATCAAATCTGGACCATAATTTTAGGCAACCTACTTCTTTTATAAAAAACCACAAAAAGTGCTCTTTTTAGAGATTTTCGAAAATATTCTGTAGACTTAATGTAAAGTAACACCAAAAATTAAAAGAACGTTTCAAATTTGGCGTGACACAAAACAATCAGGGTATATAAATTGTGATGAAAATCGTATCGTTCTCGGAGCGACAGACGTCTCAATAAAAACACTATTTCGTATTAAGGATTCTTCAACGCCGATACAGACTACTGTTAGTGAACCAAAAGAAACACTCTATGTAAAGTATCAAGAAAAACACTTTAGATGTATCAGGACTTCGCAAAATGCATGGTGCTGTAAAAAATTCGGCATATTTTCTCCGGATTTAAAATATTTTCCTATGTTATTACATATTACCTGAAAAAAGTAATAAACATAATATTATGTAGGAATATACAATATTTAAGAACATTCAGGTATATATGTTATTTATTGTAATGCACTTTACTCCATGCTCGCTTGGAATCATTGGCTACATCTTCAGATTTGTCGTCTGGGAGCCAAACGTTTTGTCACCGAAATCTGCATATATTCCTTATCAAATGCTTAACTCAGCAGTCAGGATATTCTTCTGCATAATAGTTACCTAGAATATTTTTTATCCTACACGATGAGAATTCTAAATGAAACGCAGACTGTCTAGAGAAATAATCTGTTCAAAAATGTTTCATCCGTTCATTTGCATTCAGATTAGCAGTGGTGAACGTTATGGCAACCCCTACGGTACCGGTCGGTGTTCGGTAGGTCCCGGGTTCGATTCCTACAATTTGAAGTGTTTAAATTGAGTGTTTGTGATACAAGCTGGAATAACTGTCTTCTCTGATCAGTGGTTTCCGCAGTTTGGTTGATAGCTCTAGGCGAATGCCGGTGCAGCTATATTACTATACGCGAGTTGTTCCTCACCCACTCCTCTGCCCTCCCCCCTAAGCTCCCCTCTACCTCCCCTCTCAACTATCTCCACCCCGCCTCGCTCTCCTCCACCTCCCTCATACCTCCTCCTTACTAACCTTCCACTCCCCTCTCACAATCTCCCATCCCTCAACTCATACGCTCCATCGCCCTACATCTATGCCCCTTCCCTCCCCCCCTTTCCACGCACCTCTTTCCTCCCTCCTCCACTCCTGCTTGACCGACTCGACAAGAAGTTGACCACACCGATGGTTAGCAGATAAGAGAAGCTAGCTTTCAATCGTACAGTAACTCAACAAACAGTATACTCAACTCATTGATAAAGTATGTCTTTATCCTTTGAACTGCATTAAAAACTATTTCATAACCACTGAGTTGTAAAAAAATAATTAAACAACTTACTCATCAAAACGGGCCAGGGATGACGTGCGTTCTTTCCAGCCATTCACATCGCGGGAGCCAATGACCTTAGCAGCCAAAGCGCCCAGTCGATCCATCGTCGGCAAGATCTCGACCGACTCACCTGATCTGTCACCGAGAAGATCATCTCCCTCTCTCTTCTGCTGAGTCTACCCGGAATCGAATTCCTTTCGGTGCGAAGACGAGAAACTTCTTTGGAAGTCGCTCACTATTAATTCGTTTAATATCATGGAACCATTTGTATTTTAGCTCTTGAAATCTTATTTAAAGTTTGGACATTTTGGATTTGTTTCTGATGCCTTCGCTTTTTATGTGGTCTAGACGTAGTAACACGTAGATCGCGAGCGATCCTAGGTGATCCCCCTAAGGAGATATTCCAAGCAGTTGGAGCGCAGCCATTTTTTTTAAATTGGAAAGGCATTAGGACTGAAGTAGGGTTTTAGGACGCTTCGGAGGGGTAGGACTAACCCGGACTTCCTTGGTTCGGCTTCCACTCTGAGCCACGAGTTGGCGAGAAAGGTGCCTGCAACAGATCTTAAATATCTCGTTACAACAGTATCATCTCCCTTCTATTCCCCGTGATGTAGAGGTTTACATGCAGCGGATGGGAGGCTTGAGTAGGACTTTCGGGAGTCGAATTAAAATCAAAATCCGCGATCCACGGGAAACCCGCCATGGACGGTCCGTTGGCGGTGGAACGGCCTGTACAGTCTAGGGCGGCGGCGGCGGCGGCGCGGGGCGCGAGTCTCCCTTGTTTCGCGGCGGCACCGCCTTCATCTGTCAAAGACACGGAAACAAAAGCGAAGCGAAGCAAGGCGCCGCCGCGCCCGTCCCGAGGGACTAATTTCACCTGGCTGTCACCCGCAGCGCTGCAGGCGGCGGCGGTGGCGGCGGTGGTGCCTCCATACCGGGTCGCGTGCCCCACCTCTGCCTGAACCCCCCCTCTCCCGCCGTGCGGCGGGTGGCAGGCTCGAGTACGACTTTCGGTAGTTGGTGACGCCCCTCTAGCACCGCCCGTGGTGGGGGCCGGGGCGCTGGGCAAGGGTGAATTATTGTCGAGATGGAGGTTTTTGTAAACTCATTTTTCGGTCCGGACGTCTTTGGCGTAATAACGTCTTAAAATTGGGTCTGCTATTACAGTTGTGCTATATTACTTGTATAAGTACTGCTTTACAATACTGATTTTACTTAATGTAACATACCTTACTGTAATGTAACGTGCCTTCCTGTAAAGTGCCTTATCTTGCCGTGTTATACCTTACCGCAACGTGCCTCATCGTAACGTAATGTCTCTTCCTGTATTGTACCTTACAGTAAAAATTCTTCGCATGTCTTTCTTCGGAGATGAAGTAAAGCCGGCTGTCCCATGTAGTAGATATACTGCATGTAAAAGATATTTAAGCCTAAAATAAGCCACTGAGCTAAATTAAAATCGCTTGTTTTGTCTCCCGAGATAATACCTTTATTTCTTCACTAGATGGTGAAAGGAGTGTAGCGAAATTTGTGTGGTCAGACGGAACAGCAATTCTCCCGAATCACCCGAGACTCGTTACGTAAAATAAAGCATTAACTAACAAATCGTTGTAGTATAGTGTATGTACCTTGCAGTGACGTAACGTGCCTGTGAACTTACCGCATTTTATACGATTAAGACCATCTGAAGCTAAAATAATATAGCTGAGGAAATCTATTTCGTAAACCTGTTTTACCCTTGACGTTTTTAACGTGATTACATCTTACAAATAGCTCTGCTTTTACAATGATGCTGACTGGAATTCTGGCTTTGCATAATGTGACAGAACACCTTACTGGTGTCCGCCGAGTTTTCTCCTTCAGCTCTGGTCAAATGTTATTCACGAGTCTCAAATCTTCGTAATTATTCCTGTCCCGGAAGCTTTATCTTCAAAAATATTCATACCTTCCAAGATAGTTTTAGAATTTAAAAAATTGATGTAACCGCGCTATTTTACTATAATTTATTATTTCATATTGTTTGTATTAGTAATGAGAAATGGTATAGCAATTATAACGCCCGGTGGATCAATAACTAATTTTTCGTGACAATCATTGTACCCCCAAAATAACGTAACCTCCAAATCGTAGAAATTTACGTTATTTTATACCTAAAATATTTGAATTAACTGAAGTGCAAATTAACCATTACGTTCCTGACAGATAGTCGTAGTATGGATATTGTATTTTTCATTATTTCCATGTTTGTTTTGTATTCGTGTTTAGTGGTGGTGGTAAAAATTACGTAATGTGTCAGCTATTAACACATTTGTGACCACTAAACAGGGAGAATGACGAGACCCGTCGACCAAAATCTCGTCATATTATGCCGGCACATAAGCTGGAGAATTTTCACCAAAATTGTGTTACCATCTTAAATTCACGTCTAGCAAAAACTCTCGAACTTTTTCATAACATAGAACTTTGTCTGCCCTTACAATAGTACTGTCGCAAAAAAGGTGTAACGATGACGATATATTTTGATAAAAAACTGTACCGTGAGTTGTTGGGGTAGATTTTGTAATTGGAGTGTATGGTTGCTTTGAATAAATCCTGTTATTTTTCTAGAATATTGAATTTTTTAACCTCCCAAATACCCACTTATTGTGTGTTGCAAAAACTATACACTGGGATGTAATAAGTCTGAAGATTGAATAATTGATTGAAATTATGATTTGTAAGTTTTATTGTATATTATTTTCATTGAAGAGAGATTGAGAAACAAGTAATTACGAAATTAAAAATTACAATTTCAGTTTTTGTCGTATAGACATAAAATTAATAGTATGTAATTAATTTAATTATAATAAATTAAATACATTATACAACAATTCCAAAGATATTAAGACGTTTTTAGTTCACATTACCTCACTAGATAAGCATTTTTGAATATTATACCAATATTTGATTACTACTGTGCAAAAGTACTTGGCACATTCGTCACACTATTTGCATGTCTGACGAATAAGCTTTTATCCTTCCCGAATTATTAGCACTGTATTGCAGTATCAAGCGTTTAAGACAATTATGTAATTCAATTCATAAGCTCCATGCGTTATCCTGTAAAATTTCACATTTTCTAGGGTACAGCTGATCTGTGTGTGTAGTTGCAGTATTCAAAACTCTTATTTTATTCATACCCTCTTTATATTCTCTATACATACGTGTTGTTCGAAATATTAACGTCTTTCACTGGAAGTATATTGTGATTAGAATTTCCCCCTTATATTCGTGATATTGAACCATTTTCAAAATGAAGTTTAATTTGCAATTGATCCGTAATACTATCCTTCGTAGAACTTATAACTGAATACGCTTGGAATTCTGAAAACAGCAAATTCACAGATAGCGGCACGTACAGATTTTGTGTTTTTAAGTATGGAACATTTTTCAAACATCCTGTGATTGATCGTCAATAATCTTCAAATTTCTCTTTTTCGTAGTTTCTGTTAGATTTGGGAATGTAGATTTTAAAAAGTGATCTTGAGTGGCTTCAGTTTACCGGATTATTTCTAGCAAGTAAACACTTCTCACAACTCTTTACAAAATGGATGATTTTCTAGCTGAAAAATATTCCTGTTCAAAACCCAGATACGATATTCCGCCGGAAATCATCACGACCAGGTGTCAAAAATACTCTTGTCAAATGATTTATTAGAGTATTATTCCTAAAGAAAATATGTATTATTACCCTTGGTCCTGAAAAAGGATGGAGTAGAGCACTTACTTTCACACCACAAAGAGACATGAGAAAACTGCAGAAGAATTGTCGCAAAGGGAAAGTGAATAATGTATTGTCTGCTGGTGGAACTAAATGGCGCTTTTATCACGAGCTAAATGGCATTTAAAACATCATTTCGAGGGGAAGCCACTTTATGTGATAAAACACAAAGCATACATTGCAAATCGCTTGTTATGGAGAACCAAATGTTTACCACTTCATCACTTTCTATTTTGACAATGTGCGAAAGAAATGTTTTTCAATGGAAATGTGTTCGTCTTGAAAAAGAGAAAACAAATGAGAGCAAAATTGGTTTGTGTCTGATTTATAGAACGGTTTACCTTGTGTTAGAAATTTTATGAATATTTCTCAGTAGTGGTTCATTTCCTTGCACATAAAAGATAATCTAGATTTCTTGAATAAACACAAATGAGGGAAGGCATCGGCAATAAAATATGCAAATCACAAGAAGTAGTGACTTGCACACTAATTATGTAAATAGTGGTTCTAACTTTCGTGTGGTTACACTAATTATGTAAATTGTGGATTTTGACTTCGCTAATTATCACACCTATCTTTGTGAATGCGGTAAATGATGTAGTGGCAAATGATTCGTTTTCTTTCTTGTTACGAGATTGACGACGGGCAATTACGTAAATAGTCTATCAAACCGAAAATGTTCACAAGTCGCGAGTACAATCTTTCGACTAACTGTATTGTCTCTGAAATGTCTAGGTTCGAGTCTCGTCGGTGGAAGACTTTCGACATTAGCTAGATAGCTACCACTGACTGGAAGAGACATGTCATGGGTAGGGGAAATCTGATCGTGTGGTGTACCGTGGCATCTCCGACCAATACCAGGAGCTTCTAATCTTTCCTTCTGTCAATACCGCCTCTGATATTCCCTTCTTCGTTATTGTCCAATTTTCTCCAGGTATACTCTCACACATTTTATTACCCTTCTATACATGAACACTAGGACAATAGGATGAAATGTTAGCATTTGTTCCTCATGGACCGGTTTCCCGCTGACGAAAGATGTCTAGAGGCAACCAACACGGGTGGAAGCAAATCTGTTTTAATTTGATTGATTCTGGGCGATTCTGTACGAATCATCTGCTGTAAGTCCCGTAAGTATAGAAAATGTTTCCTCGAGATGTGGGGGTGATCATTCTACACTCAATGGTAAGAACCGGCACCGACCTGATAACACACAGGCGAAGGAGATCAAGGGAAAAGAGAAGGCGGACAGTGTGGGTGGAGCGAAATGATATGGGGGAAAGGTAGAGAAGGGTCTAGAAGTAGCGTAGATAGGCGAGAAAGAGAACACGCGGGGCAAAATGGAGTGGAGTGAAATTGACTGGGTGATGGAAGAGAAGGTAAATGGTGGGGGCAGCATAGATAGGCGAAGATAAGGGTCATAAAGGCGGAGTGGGACAGACGGGAGATAGGGTAGTCAAGAGAGGGAGATTGACAACGATTGGCAGGTTGGTTTGTTGTGTAACGTATTAGCCAGCGTGCCTCATGGCATCTATTTGGGGACGCTTGGTAGAGGATTAGCCTCTACACACACACGGCGGAAGGATTTTACCATCCTTTAAAAATTCAACGTCTAAAGCAAAAAAACTCTCGAAATTTTTTCATAACAATAGAACTTTTGGGTCTTGCCCTTACAATAGTACGGTTCGCAAAAAGGTGGTAACGAATGACGATATATTTTGATAAAAAAACTGTACCGTGAGTTGTTTGGGGTTAGATTTTTTGGGTTAATTGGAGTGTATGGTTGCCTTTTTGAATAAATCTGTTATTTTCTAGAATAATTGAAATTTTTTTAACCTCCCAAAATACCCACTTATTTGTGTGTTTGCCAAAAAACTAACTAACACGGGATGTAATAAGTCTGGAGATTGAAATAATTGATTGAAATTTATGATTTGTAAAGTTTTTATTGTAATAATTATTTTCCATTGAAGAGACAGATTGAAGAAACAAGTAATTATCGAAATTAAAAATTACAATTTTCCAGTTTTTGTCGTATAGACATAAATTAATGTATGTAATTAATTTAATTATAATAAATTAAATAACATTATAACAACAATTCCAAGATATTAAGACGTTTTTTTAGTTCACATTACTCACTAGATAGCATTTTTTGAATATTATACGCAATATTTGCTTACTACTGTGGCAAAAGTACTTGGCACATTCGTCAACATATTTGCATGTCTGACGAATAGCTTTTATCCTTCCCGAATTATTAGCACTGGTATTGCATGTAATCAACGTTTAAGACAATTA